GGAGCCGTCCCGGCTGCCCCAGGCGCCCGCCGGGGCGAGGGGGACCAGCGGGGTCAGCGCCCTGGGAGCGGGCAGCGGCTGCGGGGCCGGGGACCTGACGCCGCCCTCACCCCTCGCAGGGCCAAGTACATCAATGTGACCGTGGCCTTGCGCACCACGCGGTTCCTGAGCAAGGAGACGGCGTACATGCCCTGGGAGGCGGCGCTCAACAACCTCCATTACTTCCAGCTGATGTTTGATCGCAGTGAGGTCTTCGGGGTGATGACGGTGAGCAGTGCCACCGCTCCCCAGCCCCGGCCCCGCAGCGGGCCCCGCCGCTCGGCAGAGCCCCGTGCCAGGGGATCGGGGGCGAGGGGCTGGGTCTGCACCCAGAGCTGGGCGGGGGGCTGCTGCCGGTGCTGCTGGGCACTGACCATCCTCCTGCCCCCCAGAAATACATACAGAAACAGGTGACGCCCCTCTTCAACCACTACAAGAACATCACCAATAACTGGGGCACCATCCCCAGTGGCCTGATGAACCAGTGAGTGCAGTGGCCCCGGGGCCAGGCTGGACCCCTGGGGTCTCCCCGACCGCATGGGGACGGTCACCCCAGGGTGAGGGCTCAGCCCCGCCTGTGGCCCGGCACCAGCCGGCTGGTGCCTGGCTGCCGTGTGCTCGTCCCCAGCCCCACGTGGCCCCTCTCTCCCCAGGTACAACGAGATCAATGCCATCAGCACAGCCTGCTCCTACGGCATCCCTGAGTGCCAGGAGCTGGCCACCAAATACTTCCGCCAGTGGAAGGAAAACGTCATCCAGAACCCGTGAGTCCCCGGGGTGCCCCGATGCCAGGGTGGGCGGCCAGGCTGGGCATGACAAGGGGCTCCTGGCTGAGATGGCTCTTCTCTCCCGCAGCATCCCCCCGAACCTGCGCTCCGCCATCTACTGCAGCATCGTCGCCACGGGCGGGGAGGAGGCCTGGGACTTCATCTGGGAGCGGTTAAAAAAGGCCATCGTCGGA